AAATATGAAGAATAAAGATGCAAACGACACACGATTTTTATACGTGGAAAACCCCTTCGATGTGAAGGATAAAAACCACGGGACTTATAGGGAGTCCGCCCTCTTCTTCTCTTATTATGCAAATTGAGGGTAAAAACACCCAAACTCAGTCTACAAGGATGTCACAGCCCACCAACAACAACATACATAAGAGGCATCAACAATAGAGAAGGAAAATCAGGATTATCCCCCAAAAACGCAGCGTCGCACCAGCTGCGATTACAGAAGATCCGTAGCTCCGATTAATGTGAAACTTGAACAGATTGAAGCCCAAAGTGTTGGGAACAACCTCTGAAAATTTCAGCTCAATCCAACGGTCGGATCTCCGGCGATGATCGAATTTGTGCGGCTGGTCTGTAAATTCTGCACCAGCACCTTTCCTCTCTCTATTCTGTTTTTTTTCTCTCTGCTCTCTCTCTACCTTGTCCGTAAGTCCACTGCCCAGCCCTCTTTTACTCTCCTTTTTTTAGTCAACAAAGTAAAAACACAATTGGGCCCTCCACCAAAGAAAAATGGAACCCAAACAAAATGGGCTGGACCCACAACAATAAGTGTGCGCCATTTTTAAAAGTTTAAGAAGTAATAGTATATTTTTGGAGTAGAAACATGTTGGCGTAGTGACAAGAAAACTAGATCAAGTTGCTATAAATCAAGTGTTTGAGCCATATCACTATGCTTAAAAGATTGATATTATAAAATTGAACAATGTTACATTCATGGGTTTGAGTAATACTAAAAATAATAGTGCATTGTGAAAATTCGAAAAGAAAACACGTTTGTGACGAAGAGTTTTGTGAAAAAAAGGACATATAAACCCTAATGGTATGTTTAAAAACTTGAATTTAGATTTTAAATCTGGATTTGCTTAATTCCATGTTTTGGTAATCTATAAAAAATTGAATGTAGATTTGAAGCAAATTTTTCTAATTCATAACAAAGTCTAACACTAAATCCATATATCTATCCTTGTCTTTGAAATTCAAAAATTCAAATTTTGAAGTTGAAATACAAGAATTGAAATAAAATTTAATTTACAAAATCTTAGTTTTCAAACAATACGTAAATAAGTTTTGAATTTTGTAAGAATAGGATTTTGTTAACACTGGCCAACAGTGCATAATAACCACACATTTTGAGGGGTACTTAGGGCGGGGTTGGGGTGTGGGGGGCAGGGGCGAGGCTAGGATGGGGTAGGAAAAATCAATTTTACGTATGGAGCACCGGAGGTGCTCCAAAAACACAGTGGCACTATTGGTGAGTGTCAACGAAACCGTGCCTAGCTATTTTGTAAACTCTTATGTTGCGTTCTGAAGTTCTGATCTAACTGGATCTGATCTGATTAAATTTGATCTGATCTGATACAAATTCAATTTAAATTAAAATTACTATTGTAATAGTTATAATAATAGTAATAATAATAAAATAAATATTAATAATAATAGTAACAATAATACAAAAGGATTTACTTTGGTGCCTTTGTAAATGAGAGGGCATCCATGCCACTCCATTCATTAAATGACATGTGTACTTTTAATAACAACTAATAATCTAAAAGTTTAATTAATAGGATTCCCTAAATGGTTAAAAAATGTTAAATAACCCCAATTTCCTAGGACGTGTGCATAAACTTACCCACTTTTCTCTCATTAATTTGCAATACTATTACCCCGTATTAATAATTATTTTATCAACTATTACTCTTTTTTAACATTGTCTAGATAATTATTAGTATTAATTTATTCAAAAATTATTTTATTAATTATTCTTTAATTTACTAACCATTTACTTTAAACAAACAATTGTTATTTAATTTTCTCAATCTCATTATTCTATGATTTTTATTAATTAATTACTTTTCATCGAAAAAACAAAAAGAATTGAAAAACAATTAGAGAGAATTAAGAGAAAAATAAAAGAGTTAGAAAAAATTTGAAAATTTTAAAAAATGGGTAAGAATATGGACAAATTGGAAAAAGTTGAAAAATGTTCCATAAAAATATTTTTTATAAGTTTTGAAAATATTTCAATTTAATACTCCTTTCGTGTCTAAGTATTTGTTCACTCTTAATGGTTTACTTTGGTGTATACTTCATATTATCAATATAATTGTATTTGTTATTAGTATCATCATCATCAATGTGAATAAAATAATACTATCACCGTCTCTGAGTGTTCTGTCGAGTTTTGACTTTTTTCATTTAATAATTTTTAGTCTTTGACTTATAATTAAATAAAATATGTATTGTATATTAATTAAATAAAATAACATTTAGACATATTTTATATAATAAATCTAATAAAACCTTTTTTGTATCAAATAATTAATACCCCCGTCCCATTTTAGAAAAAAGGTAAACATACAAATTAAAATGGGACAAAGGGAGTATCATTTTATTTAGTTTGAGGTCAAAATTTATCAGTCGTGACCAAAAAAGTCAAAATGTGACAAATACTCAGAAACAAAGGGAGTATTAAATTGAAATATTTTCAAGACTTTTAAAAAATTATTTTCACTGATAATTAGATAAAATAAAATATTCATATAAAATTTTGATATACTTTAAAATATGTATTTTTTACTTTTTGTTTTCTTACGAATTTAATAATAAAATATTTTTAATCACATGAGATTTTGCACATTGTTTGAAGCAGAAATTTAATTTGTAGACGAAGGGATTAACATTTATTTCAACATTTTTTTATTTTTATGGAACATTTTTCAACTTTTTCCAATTTGTCCATCTTCTTACCCATCTTTTAATATTTTCAAATTTTTTCCAACTCTTTTTTTCTCTTAATTCTCTCTAGTTTTTTTTCAATTCTTTTTGGTTTTTCAATGAAAAATAATTAATTAATAAAAATCATAGAATAATGAGATTGAGAAAATTTTAATAACAATTATTTGTTTAAAGTAAATGGTGAGTAAATTAAATAATAATTAATAAAATAATTATTGAATAAATTAATACTAATAATTAACTAGAAAATGTTAAAAAAAGAGAAATAGTTGATAAAATAATTATTAATACGGAGTAATAGTATTGCAAATTAATGAGATAAGAGTGGGTAAGTTTATGCAAACTCCCCGAAAAATTGGAGTTATTTAACAATTTTTAACAATTTATGGAATGTTATTAATGAAACGTTTAGACTACTAGTTGTTATTAAAAGTACACATGTCATCTAATGATTGGAGGGGCATGGATGCCCTCTCATTTACAAAGGCACCGAAGTAAATCCCTAATACAAATAGTAATAAGAAGGAGAAAAATAGTACTCCGTACTTCGGGTAATAAGAATAGTAACAATAATAATAATTATAAGAATAATACTAGTAATAATAATAATAGAAATAATAGTAACAACAACAACAATAATCATAATAATAGTAATAATAATATTTATAGTAATAGTAGTAATAATAATTAATAGTAATAATTATAAAAAAATAGTAAAAATAATAATAATCATAATAGTTAAAATAATAATGGTAATTCTAATTGTAATAATAATAACCATGATAATAAGAATAGTAATAAAATAATAATAGAAATAACAAAATGATAATAATAATATAAATAATAATAATAGTAATAGAAATTGTAATAATAACAATAGTAATAATAATTATAATCATAATCATAATAATAATAATAGTAATAATAACAATAATAACAATAATATTAATAGAAATATTAATATTAATAGTAATAATAACAACAACAACAACAATCATAATAACAGTAATAGTAATATGAATAATAATAATAATATTGTTTAGATGTGATTTGATTGGATTTGATGTGATGTGATTGAATCTGTTGAAATGTGACGTGATCTAATTAGATTTCATGTGATTTTCATAATAATAACTAATATGGAGTAGCAATTTCCCATTTTATTCAACAAGCCTTGATTATACTCCATTAGACACGGAGTAAGTAGAGTTGGTCACGTCCCCCCCTTATTTCTTCGGTTTCCCCGTCCCATGGCTGAGTCTCTTCATCTGCACCCCCACCCACACACACTAAAATTTGTCAAAAATAGAAAGAAGATGATGTTTCACGTTTTTGTTTCTTCATCATCATCATCATCATCATCATCATCATCTATATAATAATAATCTTCCATTCCTGCCCGCGGTCCATACATTATTATAATATTGCAGATTATTAATTAATCAAAAGATGACTGCATTATTACTATCATTCAACACTCAGCCTCCATTATTCCCGACCACCAAGCTTCTTGTCTCAGCTTCTTCTTCTTCTTCATGTGTTGGGAGCCCTGCATTATTTCTGGCCGCCGGCCTCTGTTCTCCCCGGCCACGATTCTTCATCAAAATGAACTCTCTGCAGCTCTCTTTTCCGGGTTCCCGACCTCCCATCTTCAGAGTTTTCTCTCACTTAACTGTAATTCTTCTTCTTCTGTCAATTTTGTTGTAGTGGGGGGTTTTTGTTCAAGAGCTAGATAGTGAGGGAGAGTTTGAGTGTACTTTGACAATGGAGGGAAAAGCATTAAAGGGAAAGTTAGAAATGGTTTGGGGGGTAAAACAGGAACTTTTGGGGTATAAAACATGGTAGAAATACAAATACTACCCCCATAGAGTACGTATAGCATACTCACTTACTCACTACCTAGTATTTCATACTTCATCCCTCTCGAAATGAATTTGAATCTTTTTTCTCTAACTTTTGTGTATTTGTTTGTTTTTTTGTTGATTATTTGATAAAATAAAAACATTCTAATCACCCATGGTTTTGTATGACTTTTAATGTAGTATTTATAATATGTACGTACTATTTTTTATTTTTTTATTGATTTACTAATATATAAGTAAAATGATTTGGAAAGAATTACCTCCTAACTCCTAATGTGTGATCCAAATTGAGACCGAGGGAGTACATTAATTAAAATATAAACTTCAATGTTTCAATACCAAAGTTAGGACTTGTGCCAAATAATACGATCAATGCATAATGCCAAAAAACACCAAGTGCCAATCCAAATTGTTATCCTATTTAGGGGATAAAATATAAGCGGTCTTACTTTATTTTTATTTTCATTTTTAGTTTTATTTATGTTTTTTTTATGATGTAAAACATTTTTTAAAAACAATTTTCACGTGTAAGACTCGATTATAAATGAATTTGTCCGGCACAAGAGGGCTGTATAGAGTATAAAAACCTTCTCACCTTACAACCAATCTTGCGGTTGAGTTGACTCCTTAACACAAATAGTCTCTCACTTTTTACGGGGTTAATGATGCATGTAACTTGACTCTTCTACTTGAGATATACTTCATCCGTGTCACACAAAAGCTTACCCATTTTTTTTGTCCGTTCCAAAAGAAAGTCTCGCTTTCCACGTTTAGAAATATTTTTGTGGCTCATATTATTTCTAACTTCTCTCTACCATTTTTAATTATACAATTTTACTTTTCAATCTCTTTGTAAAGTTAAACATAGATTTTTTTTTGAAATAGCTAGTTTCTCTTGTTGTGGGGTATATATAGAATACAAAGTAAATTGCTTGCCGCCGTTTTTGTCAATGAAATTATCTGTGTAGTAACAATGCTAAAGCTTTGAACTAAACTTTAACCTGTCACTATTCATTCATATGAATGATATATGTGATCCATTAGTTTATTACACAATATAATGTTCCATTTGGATTGAAGTGAACAAACAGAAATAATTTGACTTTTTTTTTTTTTGAAAACTAAGGATGTTGAGGTAAGGAGCAAGTGCTCATCCTCAGTGGTGGAGAGAAATGGGCCATTGCCATGTTCGGAATGGAAAACCGTTCCCGATATTTGGAAGACGTCAGCAGACAAGTTTGGCGATTTTGTCGCGTTGGTGGACAATTACCATAATCCTCCAACAAGCCTTACATATAAGCAGGTAAGTTGCTCATATGTTTTCTTCATTTGCTTTTCTTCATTAGCTACAAGCTTTGTTTTATGATTCCCTTATAATGTATCAGCTTGTTGTAAATGCAAACTGATGAGAGATTATGTTTGCTTCATTGAAAAACATAGCTTGAAAAGGAGATTTCGAGCTTTGCAGAAGGCCTTAAGGTTGTTGGCTTAGAATCTCTTGAGAAGATTGCTCTTTTTGCTGAGAATTCGTGCCGCTGGCTTGTTGCAGATCAAGGTTTTCAAACCCTTTTTCTAATTGTATACTTTTGGCTTAATTTGTTTGGCAATTCTTTATCAAATGACATGAGAACTTTCTTCCCCTTTTATTACATTCATTCTTAGCTTTTAGAACTTCTTCAATCCTTCAGGTATAATGACAACTGGAGCAATCGATGTAGTGCGGGGTTCAAGGTCATCAGTGGAAGAGCTTTTGCAAATCTACACCCATTCTGAAAGGTTTTATTTTAGCCCCCCTTCCACAAGGCATGTTCTTCTATGATTATATCAACCAAGCCATGCAGGCATAATGTTTCTTTTTGTTTTTACCATAGCGTTGCACTTGTTGTGGACAATCCTGAAATGTACGACCGAATTGCAAAAACCTTCAGCTCGTCCGTGAAAGCCAGATTTGTGATCTTACTTTGGGGGGGAAAGTCAGGTATCAGAAGTGAAGGGACAATGGATGGGCTCCTTCCTCCAATATATAGTTATGCAGAGATCATCAATTTGGGAAACCAGCAATCTCAAGAAGGTATAGTAGAAACCGATCTTCCCTCGCACAAACTGCAGAAATTTACTATTCCATCTGACCCTGAAAACTCTTCCTGTTTTGACTTTTTTAATCGAACATAAGATAAATAAATAAATGTTATAGAAATTTGATTTATCAAAAGCATATTCCAATATGAACCCAATTATATTGAATGTATACTATAACTCAATATACTTTTCTCACAACTTGTGGTCAAATGTTTGACCAAAAAAAGTCAATACTGGAAGAGTTCTAGGACCCGAGGGAGTACTTTTTTGAGGTATTTTACTGGGTTTGTTGTTGTATATGTAATTGCAGCAGGGCATAAACAATATGCATATGAACCAATTATCAACTCTGATGATGTAGCCACACTTGTTTATACTAGTGGAACCAGTGGCAATCCAAAAGGGGTTATGCTTACCCATCGGAATCTCCTTCACCAGGTTTCAAAACCCGCCTTCTCTTTTTAACCACCGCTGCCTGAAACTAAATTACTGTGTGTTCAATAATTTTCGTAGGTTAAGAATTTTCCGGAATTTGTACCGGTTGTACCTGGAGATAGATTCCTGAGCGTACTTCCTCCATGGCATGCCTATGAACGTGCATGCGAATATTCATCTCTTGCTACCGGGTGCCAGCAAGTCTACACCAGTGTCAAACACTTGAAGGTATTGTGTCATTTCTTCTTTTGCAGCATCATAAAGATGCCATCCTTTCTTGAATTGATTCCTACTGTGATTCTACCAAACTTCTCAATCATAGAACACGCCATTGCATTTGTGATTGTCTTTCAAATATTAAATGGAGACTAATATATATGCTTCTGGTTTGGTTTATTACTTATATTTCAGGGGGATTTGGAACGGTATCAGCCAAGTTATCTAATATCAGTTCCTTTGATATATGAGACCTTATACAGGTAGATTCATATGGTCTCCACATTCTACATTCATTAGTTTCTCTCAAATGATAGAAGACAGAATTGAACTTCTGAATATTATTATCTGACAGAGATTTACATAGTATCTATTATGGTGTCATGCTAATATTCCACGGTTTCTCTAAGTGACATTGAGTTGTCTTTATTTACGGTGTAATTTCATTTTACCTTGCAGTGCGATTATGAAACAGATTAATACAAGTGGTAGTTATCGTAAGCTCGTCGCACTGACATTTCTAAAGATCAGTTATGCCTACAAAGAGCTCAAAAGGATCTATGAGGTATAATAACATCTAGATTTTGGTTCTTTTCGGGGAAAAATACGGAGTACTTTTTTTAAGTTTACCCAACACTAGAAGATGCTGATTTTTTTATTTGTGAAAATATTCTGTGGAAATTCATTTTCCTTCAAAAAAAAACAATTCCTCTATATGTTTAAAAATATTTCTTTATCTTATTTCTCTATATGCTTTAATTTTATTGCCTGTATTTCAGGGGAAATGCTTAACACAAGATCAAAAACTGCCTTCCTATCTTGTGTCAGCATTAGACTGGTTATGGGCCAGATCCGTTGCCGCTCTATTGTGGCCATTGCATATCTTGGCAAATAAATTACTCTACACTAAAATTTGCTCAAAGATTGGTATATCTAAGGTAAGGTATAATGTGCATACATATAACAGGCCATGATATGTTTCCTAAAAAAAAGGCCATGATATGCCGATTCCAGTGAGTGAAAAATGACTAATAATCCCACTCTATTTTTTGCAAGTTTGACAGTTTTTGTAGTCTACACACTTATATTATCATAAAGCCGATTTCTTCTTTCTCCCAATGTGGGATTTTGTTTGCCACGCCAACACTTTAAACATTTTCAATTTTATTGTCTTTGCAGGCTGGAGTAAGTGGAGGAGGTAGTCTTCCTATGCATGTTGACAAGTTCTTTGAGGTTTGGTGCTTTTGTCTTTTTGGGAATTTCATTTCATGGTGTTAACTGTTAATATACATATGATGCAAAATGGTGATTTGTATGATGGTGCAGGCAATTGGCATTACTGTACAAAATGGGTACGGTTTAACAGAAACCTCTCCTGTTCTTGCTTGCCGATGGCAAAATTCCAATGTATGAGAGAATTGTTGGCATGATCAGTTCTTAACTTCCTCAAAATCATTTTCAGTAGAGATCACTTTTCAAGAAATACATTTGAAACTTGAAAGATACAATTTTCAGGTCATCGGCTCAATTGGATATCCCATTCCATACACAGATATAAAAATTGTAGATGTTGAAACAGATGAGGTCCTACCACATGGTTGTAAGGGCATTGTCAAAGCAAAGGGACCGCAGGTGATGAAGGGCTATTACAAGGTTAGTACAATCCAACGTTTGAGCGGAGTTTTTGAAATTTTATGTTTTCTTGAGCTGAGTTTCTAAACATTCTTTACTGATTCTGAACATTTCTTTGGTGTTCAGAATCCAATCGCTACAAAGCAAGCTGTTGATGAGAATGGATGGCTAAATACTGGTGATCTTGGTTGGATTGTTCCTCACCATTCTATAGGGAGGTCTCGGAATGCTTCGGGTGTTATTGTCCTAGAAGGCCGTGTCAAGGACACTATAGTGCTTGTATCAGGTCATTGTTAAGTTCTCACTCAGTGCAGAGGCTATGTAGTCAGTTCCACAAGGTTTATGAAAAATGACTGATTTATACTTGCAAGAAACAGGTGAGAATGTTGAACCGTCTGAGGTTGAAGAAGCTGCAATGTGTAGCAGTTTGATTCAGCAGATTGTTGTCATTGGACAGGTATGCAATCTACTCAGTCTATTATAAAATTGAGTAAATTTACCTAAAATTGAGATGTAAATAACAAAGAGAGACATGAATGTGCAATAAGAATGGATGGTAAAACATGTTAAAAGTTAATTCTAATCAATACAAGTATAGTTTACCGCAAAAGTGTCATGTTTTTTTGGACCGGTTGGACTCCTAGGCATTTTTTTGTTCACTTTGCACACCCACAGGGCCGTGGCTGCCACTTGTTCATGTGAATGCATTAACAACAACTAACTTTGCACCTGTACTCCTGTAACATTTAGGACAAACGGCGCATTGGTGCCATTGTTGTACCAAATAAGGAGGAGGTTCTTTCAGCAGCAAAAAAGCTGTCTATTGTTGATTCTGATGCCACCGAAGTCGGCAAGGAGAAAACTGCTAGCCTATTACATGAAGAACTCAGAAAATGGTGATGTACTATTTACCATTTACACTATGTTTGGTTGAAGGAATTTGGAAGGAAAAGAAAAGAAAATGATTTCCTTGAACCAAACACAGTGTTAGTAGCCACAAGCAAAATGCTCAACATAATCTGGTTTTCTACGGTTTTCCTGCAGGACGACGGGTTGCACATTTCAAATCGGGCCTCTCCTTGTCATCAATGAGCCTTTTACGGTAACCATTTTTCGCGAACTGAGTCATGCTTTCATGCTCAATTCAATGAAGTTTCAATTTCTTAGACATTTTGGTTTGGTGCTGTGCAGGTTGAGAATGGTCTGTTGACTCCAACAATGAAAGTTAAGAGAGACAAAGTAGCATACCTTTACAGAGAGCAAATAGACAATCTATACAAATGACTTCACTTCCCAAATGGGAGTTTTTGTAAATCAATTAATGTACTAGGCATTTAATAAATAATAATAATAAAACAAATGCTTTGCTGCTCATGGCACCAGATGGTTTTTCCTCTTGATTTTCATCACTTACTTATAAAATACTACTTTTGCCCTGCTTCTAATACTACAGTCAATTTTAAAATTTTCTCCCCACTCAGAAATAATATAAACTATGGCCTAAAATAATGGCGGTAGTTGAATAGGAGGATCACTATGACTATATCTCGGGAACAAAGATTTAATCTCAGACACAGGATGCTACACTATTCGGACAGTAATTCATTTGCAAAATTAGAATACTTTTAAAAACAGAGTATTTGTAGCCATTACATTACAAGGGTTATTCAACATTGCAGGCAATGCCCCAATATGCCATCCCATTATTTCACATACAATTGTTACAAGTGTAACTCAACAAGCAGGCGAAGCCAATAAATATACCATTGCCGAAAAGGCAAGCCTTCATTATTCTTGGCATTATTAGTTCTATATATGGTACCTGCTTTTAAACCCAGATATCAGATGTGCAGTCACCCCCAGGATACCTCATTTCATGAGCCAAGGCTGGACCATCGGGTTCAGTTCCAAAGTCCACAAAGAAGTTTGGGTTGACGGAAAGACCCCCTTTTTCACTATCCACGTCAATCTGTATAATGTGGGACCCTTTCTCCACAAGGTCTGGATAGAATTGTTTGTCCCAGGTACTGTAGAGGGAGTTTGTTGCGTATAGCCTCTTCCCATCTAGACTCAACTGTATCATCTGCGGCCCTCCTCTCAGCTTGTTTCCCTGGGAATTGGGCAACCTCAAATAATAATAATCACATTGAAGGCTATGTATGCCAGTGAAGAATTTTCCTAGAATAAATGTCAAAATACCTGAATATCTGGGACATCGACCTGGAATGTTGTGCCATCTTTGGCTTCTGCAAGTACAGAGCTTCCTTTTCGTATCAATCCACCCACCCAGACTTGCCCTGCCAGCTTAGGGTTTGCTGGGTCTTCAATGTTATACTGTCTAATGTCACCATGCAGCCAATTGGCCAAGTATAGGAACCGGTCATCCAGTGAGATCAGAAAATCAGTAATGAGTCCGGGCATTTCAGGAAGAATCCAATTCTTCACCTTCAATGATTTCACTGACACTGCTACCTGCAGTGAGTGGTTATAATTCGAGCACCAGTCAAAGACACATTGGCATGCTTCAATATTTTATTGGCAGAAAATACTACGATGGTTGGCTTTTCAGTTTACCTCATGGCTCCATGAATCATCTGGATTCTTGAAAAAACGCACCATGTTACTTGTTAATGCACACCCCACAAACCCTGTCGCTTCAGTTGGATCATGCAGGAATCATATCTGCCACATATTCAAAACAAAAGTTACTATAAAAGTATTTTTTTAAAAAAATGCTGATTACAGATACATGGAAAGGAAAATAGTTGGAAAAAAAAGGAATCCTATCTTGCCTCAAGGGGTAGAAGCCCTGTATCTCCAAGATCCAGTGTCTGTTTCAGTTCACCACCAGGCCAGCTATAGATATGCAAATGGCGACCATAGAGCCCATCAGAAACATGCTGAAGATCGAAGCCTTTAGTGAAGGCCTTGGGAGCTCCCCAAGACGAGCTTATCATTGTCTTGTGCCGAGGCTGGTACCAAAAATCATACCCATAGAGCGGGCTGTGCCCTGGCTTTTCCCACCTATTACACATTTACAAAAATTCAAATATATTCCGCACATAAGAGGGGGATAATGAAATCTGAACTACTCAAAATGATTAATTATAAAAAATAACAATTTTAGAACGAAATGCAAGAAAAAATGTGTTTCTTTTAACAACACATGGACTACCTTCCCTTCACGTTGAAATCCGAATCAAGTAGAAGAAAACCATTCCCATCAGCATTTCCATCTTTATCACCCAGGCATGACAACATAATATCACCAGAGGCAAGGCAGTGAGCAGTGTGTGGATAGGCCAACCCAGTCTTCTTTATTATCTCATCTGGCTCAACAACTTTATGCAGACTGGGAGCTCTTGGATCCTTAATTGTGTCAATTGCATATATGCGCCCAGATCTGAAATACATTAAAAAGTTCTGAAATGCAAACTCCGTGTTCAAATTCTGAGTATTTGGTAGTAAAGATAAAAGAATCTGTTCAAACACTCCCTCCACCCGCATTTAGTTATTCACTTCCAATATCCAATAGAAAATAAGTGATGAAATGTCTAAAATATCCTAGAGATGAGGTATGAGTATTCTTGACATGATCACATTAATGGATACTTACATTAGTGAGGGCAGGACAAGATATCGACGAGAAGCAGATGGGTCACCAAAGCAAGAACTGCAAGAATTCCATCCTGAATGATGTAGTTCATCGCCTAAATAAGGCATTGGTAGCCTGTGGATTACTTTAGAATATGTTGGTGAACTAGGATCAACGTCAACAGTAGCCAGGTAGTCGGGATTCTTCCTTCCTGTTCCTGTAAAAATGAACCAACACAAATTTTCTGATTCATGTAATTTTATTCTCCAAATATGATAACTAGACAACTGATTCGAGACACCCCAAAATTAAAATGTGAACAGCTAAATATGGAAAGAGAGAGTAGATAATAAATACTTCTTCCCTCCGTCTGGGTTTAGTTGTCAACTTTTTTAGAAAGAGAACCGGGAAGGAGGGAGTATTTATGACCAGTTGTACTGCAGAATCAGGGAAATTTGACAGCACATAAAATAATTCACCGTAAACACTTTTAAGCTTGGTTTGGTAAGTGGGAGGGCATTAAAATAGAATCTTAGTTTCCTTTTTAATGTGTCTAAACAATTGAAACCATTTATATCATGGGTCCCTGGTCACTTCAACTGTTAAAATTCCGGTGGGCCGATAACAACGGACAGAGTGTCGGGTAAAATTAATCACTTGCATATAAAGTCGGGATCCACAATTCTAACCCAAAAGCTTAAGCTGATAGGTAGGGTTTCACCCTTCAATATATGCAAGTGATACTCATCTTTATTTTTCAATGTGGGAACTCCAACATCAACCTTGTTTGAGACTAAAAAGTTTGGAACATGACAAATTTTCAGGGACTAGGGGGAGTAGTTAAATATGTTTCGTGTAGTTAAATTGTTGGAGTATCGTCTGCACTGAATCATCCGTAACGATTCTCATATTCGTTTTACTCCATGAAACCATATATTTCATTTACCCACAAGGCAACAGAGTGAAAGACATGGGAGTGAGTGTTCTTTTTAATACCCATGACCTCGAATGTCTGTGTTTGGGCGTGGTGTCAAAGTAGACTTTCTCATTTTATATCATACAATGAGCGAAATCCCGCTTGGCATGGAGAACATTTCAAGATAAAAGCAGTAATTGACTGTGGGTACATTGGTAAGCCTATTGCAACACGAATTTTGGTGTTGAGTATTTCACTCCATGGAGGGGGAAACATCACTTTGCTTATGTTTTGAGATGTCTGATCTATTACTCCCTCCCTCCTAATTTATCTTACGCGTTTTACTTTTAGGCCATTCTAATTTATCTCGCTATTAGAATATAAAACCCTTTTCTGACCGTACAAACACAAGCTTGAGCTTTTTGGTTGAAGAATCGAAGTACTAATGACAAAAAAGGTCATGATGAGATTAAACCTCCCCATCATCCATTTATGTCTACTCTACCCAAATCTCAACCACACACTTTTTACTTTTGCGAGATGAATAAAGGGACCATTAAGTATGGACCATACTAGAGCTAGATTGTTCCATTGAACAAAGGGTAGTCCAAGCTTGCCTCTTGCCACACTTCACAAAGACACTTACACAAACAATTTATAGCATTTTTTTCTTAGGAGAAAAGGGAAAAGAAATTGAAGGGGGCATTGATTGACCTGAATAGACGGTGGTGACATAAATGAGGGACTCCCTGGGTCCTTTCATGGCTTCCTTAGGGCTGGCATACCCCGGCCCCTTCTTGCAGCACCCACCGGCGCCGCCCACTCTGGCGCACTCCGCCGCCGCTGCATCCGTGGCCATCTCACTTTTCCGCCGGAGATATTACTGAGCTAGAAGTCAAGAAGAGATGGAAGTCTGAGGCAGTATTTGCGTTTTTTTTTTAACCGAGCTGGATTTTATAAGAGCCACTTTTTTTACGGCGGATTGCTGTTAAAAAAATGTGGGAGGAGTAAAAGCTTGCACCGGATTTACCGGTTACATTTCGGCTGCATTTTCCCAATTACCGAGTGCTATTCATGCTTCGTCCGTATCTGGACGTGCTGTTGTTGTTTATACGGTGGCGGTATTCTTTCGTCCGCGAGAGATGAATCTGGTCGGGCATTCCATTGCCTATCCAAACTTATTCTTATTAAATTCATATTACAAATAATACTTCGTATTAAATATAATTATTATCAAATTAGAATTTATTTCAATTAGATCAGTCTATAGATCAGGATAAATCTATTTTGATACTTACTTTATTTCAAAATAATTTATCTTTTTACTTTTTACTATTATGATATTTCTATATTTTTTGTTTGTTTGTATGTTTTCTTTGATCACATAATAAAATAAAATATTTTTGACCCCTTTTATTATGTAGAATTTTTGATGCAATTTTTAAATTTATAATTTTTTTTATTTCAATACTAATTTATAAATAAAATCAATTTAAAAACCATATAATTAGTACGTTGATCCATATAGATAATTCATTTTGGGATAGGGGGAGCATATACAATTATGGTATGTATGCGCCATTGTTAAAAGAAAAAAAAGTTCAACCCAACGTTCATAAACTTCTTTTTTATGCAAAAAATGTTTTTATGTGAGAAAATTCACAAAAAATGATGTGAACTTAGGTACACCAAAGAAGCATTGTACAAATAATTTTAGATGCACCGACCTTCATATAAGGCAGTAAGCAAAAATTTATCACTCTCATAAGCATTTTTGTTATATAAAAATTGCATCTACGCGACAAAATCTGCAAAAAAAAAATGTGAATTTTAAACCTACCAAAGAAGCATTCTATAAATAGCTATTACATTATAATATAGTTATTCGTGTTAAAAAAAAGATATTGAAAAAAGATTATTTGTATTTGTAAAAAAGTCAAGATATAAATAATTAAGGATATTTGTTACATTTTCAAATATGAATATAAACGAGGGTATATATACTTTGTATATTTATTTTAATGCATCATTTCTTTCTTCCACATCAGCACCATATCAAATTGCACTAATTTCATACTCGTACTTTTTTTATTACTGGAGAAAGTATCAAAGTATACATACACCAATGCACCATTTACTATAATTGTATTTAAATAAACAACCATTCTAAAACTCATAATATAATCTAACTTTTAGTAAATTTGAAATGCTTAATTTCTTTAATAGCTGCAATAATTTTTAAAAAAATATAAACTATAAATTTTTAATTAACACGATAACAACACAATATAATGTCATTAATTTAAATGAAACTACAATACTACGTAAAAAAGTACCAATCCAAAACAACAATACTACATAGAAGAAAATATCAATTCAAAGAACACCAAACATAAGAATACTAAAAAAGTGCAAAGTAAATTAGGATAGTGATACTAAAAGTTGTATATAGAATGGATGTGAAAGAAATGTATATAATTTTTGCATATAAAAGTTGTAATTATTAAGTTAAAATAAATTTTTAAGATCGTTGTATAGAATAAAGAGAAGAGCACACAGTGTCATTGACAATATGATAGACTAGCTTACCGAATCTGTTAGAATATAAATAACTTATAAATAACTGTTCCTGGGCCACAACCACAAGTTTGAGCTTTTGGTTGAGTTGGTTCCTTGACATGGTATCGGAGCCTCGTTGACTAAGAGGTCACGGGTTCGAAACTCAGCGCCACCCAGTTTAAAAAAATTAAGGTTTCACGTGCAAGGCTCGAAAAAGAATACGCCTGCACGTGAGGGGGCGTGTTAGAATATAAATAACTGTTCCTGGGCCACAACCACAAGCTTGAGTTTTTGGTTGAGTTGGTTCCTTGACAGAATCCTTTTGGTACCAAATAGTAATGTTATCCTCGTTGCCAAAATACCACATAAGTTAATCTTGGTAGCAAAATGACTTTATTGCATCCATACCGTTCACCCTTAGAGTAGAGTTGGAAAAAAACACATTTTGGTAAATTTGCATATGCATATATACCCTCACTTGTAGTTAGTTAAGTATCAAATTATTGGTATTTTATATGACATTGTTAGTTAGTTAAGTATCAAACTATTGGTATTTTATATGATATTGGTGTAGACGAGGGATTGAAATAACTAGCTAGGAATGTAATGAGAATATATGTACAAATAAAATGAAGCACACAACCAGATCGAATCAAGCACAAGATTACTATGATGATGATGTAGCTCAAAGTAAATGACACGCAATGCTACAACATCACCCGAGTAATGCACGACTCTTTCTCTTCCGCATGCGTGGCCTAGAGGGTGTGCAAAATGGCCAATCAGACAAGGCCCCTAAAATTTTAAGGCCACATATTTTTAAATTCACCATTAATTTTGAAGCATAAGTATTCTAAAATAATAAAACAGAGCCTAAAATGTAAATTTCGGACCGGACTAATTTCATTTTTTCATTTTTTAAGGCCGACCCTGCTCTTCGGGTCTGTGTTCACGTAACAACTCTTTACTAAACCTTCAGTTCATTAGTGTTCTTAACTTCCATATAGGTTGAGCTTGGAAACACTCATGAATGATGCTTCACTTCTTCTGTCAACTAAATTGATCTAGAGTAGCTCAACTTGTTAAACTTATAAAAGCTTTAAGACTCCCTTGTCTAGCTAGCTCCTTCACAAGACCAAGAGCTATCCTCACCATCTTGGTGACATCTCCCTATGGGATTGGGAAGAGAGGTACATACCTTCCATGTCTCCAATGTTGGGGTTGGTCGCTCCCATTTCTGTCATTTCACTTTCTCAGTGATGGTTTTGTAGAATTTTGGAAAAACTGAACTGCCTTTCATTCAATATTCACAACGTATATATACATGTGCCAAGTCCTACTCCAAGTATGGAAAGGACTACTAACAAGGAAACTAATTACAAAGGAAACTAATTACATATATGGTAGTAAATAAATATATATGCTAACACTCCCCCTCAAGTTGGAGCATGGAGATCACGAATGCCTAACTTGGACAATAAGAACTCGAAGAGAGGCCTGTTCAAAGCCTTAGTGAACAAATCAGCAATTTGTAGACGAGTAGGAACATATGCGGTGGCGATCTCACCGCGCTGAATGCATTCACGGACAATGTGGCAATCAATATCAATATGTTTCATGCGTTCATGAAAAACAGGATTGGCAGCAATAAACAAAGCGGACTTGTTATCACAAAACAAACGTGGCGTTGTCGGTGGAGTAATGCCGAGTGCCCCAAGAAGACCGCGGATCCATCGTACCTCTGCACATGCATTAGCCATGGCACGATATTCAGCTTCTGCTGATGAACGGGACACGGTGGTTTGTTTCTTTGTTTTCCAAGAAACTGGCGAGCCACCTAGAAGGATAAAGTAGCCGCTCACAGAGCGACGAGTAAGAGGACAAGATGCCCAGTCGGAGTCACTATAAGCAGATAGCTGTAGTGAGCTGTCACTACGTAAGAGAATACCCTGTCCTGGATGACCCTTCAAGTAGCGAAGGACTCGTTTTGCAGCTTCCATATGATCAAGGCGAGGCGCATGCATAAATTGAGACAGAACATGAACGGAATAGGTGAGATCCGGACGCGTGATCGTGAGATAAATTAAGCGACCCACAAGTCGCCGATA